CCGAGTCGTCAGGTGGCGGGGTCAGCAGCGGCCACGCCCCTCCCCGGAGCAGGGGGCGGGGCCTGGCTTCCCGCCACGGGGGCTGCGGGCGCACAAAGGCGCGCGGGAGCCCGGGAACCCGCGAGAGGCGTGGTTTCCTGCTTCAGCCTGTAGGGCGGCTCGTCTTTGTCTGAGGCGAGGCGGCCGTCGCCTCACACCCAGGCTCCGACACGCTCTTCAGAGTCTGGACCACTGGGCGACCTGAGGGACCGACGAAGCGCTGTCGCCAAGCTTCCGCACTTCGGTGCTTGGCCTTGCACTAGTATGCCTCGAAGCAGGCTCCTCCTTGCACGGTCCATTTCTGAGGCGAATTCTCTTCTTCAGGGACCAGAGAGGCCAGACGTGGATGGACCGCGGAGCGAACGCGCTTGGGCGCCAGCTGCCACCGAAGTTAAGGGAATGAGAGCAGCCTGGGAGTCCTGGCGGAGAATATTCCTCTGGTTGTGACAGGGCAGCCGAAGCAAGAAGCAGTTGAGGAAATACGGGTGGGACTTGCCTGAAAGGGCTGCATTTCGCCACGTATGTTCAACAGATAATTTAAGAGAATTTAGCAGAGACTGTGCTGGGTGCTATGGAAATCCAGTGAACTTATTAAAATGTTATCACCAAGGGCATCTTCCTCAACTCCAGTCATTCCAAGCTCGTACCCTGGACATGGACAAGGACAGTGCACCATCTCCAGAAATCGCCACTGTAGGCACTATATCTCGTTTATCATAATTCTCCAATCTTAACAGCGTGCTTGCTCAAAAGACCCCCGCGTCCTGAAACTGTTCACTTCGTTGTGACCTCCAATCCCTAGGTCTCAATCATTTTCTCACAATCAGTTGGTTTCTTCATCAGAGAGTTCGTGGTCCATCTGTGTAACACTATTTTAGGCATTTCCTCTCTCCGTGCCTCAGTTTTCTCAACTATAAAATGGGATAATCCTACCTACTTCCTACAGTTATCCTGATAATTACAAAAGTTAATGCATGTGAAAGAACTTAGAAGTGTTCTTCTAAGTTGTTTCGACATGCCCAGTAATAAGTTCTCAATATGTTTTAGTTATTATTAGGCAACGGTTTCCAAGTGGTGCCTCATCCTAAGGCCTGAAAGAGGCAAAGGATTTAATCAAGGAGTATGGGAATGGGCAAGAATTTGCTTGGCAAAGGGAAAAGCTTGGGCAAACCCCAGGAGAAGAGAGGAAGAAAGAGCTTAGCAATGAGCTGGGCATTAAGTAGATCAGTATGACAGCCAAAAATCGAGTGTAGAAGCTAAAGCTGGAAGAGGGGCCTTATAAACCATATTCGGACTTACAATTTTTCCTAAAGACAGAGGATTCAGGAGTAGGAACTTCAAGTGTCTTCCAACAGAGGGCGTTACTCCCCCTCAGATTTATGTGATGCTCCTCTCTCCCCCACTATGCAACACAGAAGGAAGCCCTTGGAGTTGTAAAAAAGCCAAAATTCATGAAAATCTCCACATTTCAAATTGAAGATGTATCCTTCATTAAAAAAAAATAAGTTTAGATGACATTTATTAGTTTGGAATGTGTACATTGCTGAATTTCAGTTCTATTATTTGTTTGTTTTGACTCTCATTTCTTTTTCTCTTTTACGCCAGAGAATTGGATTTACTGTGTACCTCACTGCTTTGCCCCTCAAAGTCTGCAGTGATGTTCAGGTGGGATCCACTATCAAATCATGGTATGCTGGTGTGTAATTCATTATCAATCTTATGAGTAGCCGTCAGAAATGTACACAAAATCCAGAGGATGATGCAAAACACTTACTTTTCTCTTAAGTAGTCTTCAGCCCCTTCTTGGCCAATTTTCCTCCTTCATCCAGACACAGTACCTTTTGCTGGTGTCTAGCACGGTGAAGGCCTTGGATAGACCTCAGGCTTTACAGCTGCCTGAGTTGAAACCTTTCTCTAGCTAATTTGAATATTAACTGCCTCTCTTAGCATGCCAAAAGAAACTCTCCCCAAAACAGGAGTGAGGATAGGAAAGGATTGAGGGCAACTCTTTGCACACTAATTTGTATTTATCTGATAATATGAAGAAGTTGTTACTCTTCTGAGTTGCATTTTCAATACAAATACTAGCCATGGCAGAATAACCTATCTATCCCTCAGTTATTTTCTTCAAATGATAGCAAAGCTATTCGGTTTGTTTTAACTTCATGTTTCACAATCCAGTTTAATCATTTTGCAAGTTTGCTCTAGAGGAGAATCAGACTAGGTTGTCTGGCAGGGATGATGGCTTCCATTATTGCCATTTCTTTCTGTGACTTGCAAATGTGAATTTGAAAATTAACTGAATTACAAATATATTTTAAAATAAATGCTTATTTTTAATAGAGTATGGTATTAAAAAATCACGTGCTATATCTAAATCCAAATTCTGCACTGGACACCTATGGATATTGTTATGTGAAAATAATCTGACTCTATGAAAGAATATAGGATGTCCTGCCACTGTCTGCAAAATACCGAATTCCTTGGGCTTGGCTTGCAAAGCCCTTGATAATCTTTTCCTCAGTATACTGGGTTTTCTTTTTGTTTTTGTTGTTGTTGTTCATCTCTCCTTGCTCTTTCTTTATTTGTTTTGTCTAAATATAGTAAAACCCTATTATGTGCCAGGTTTGTGAGAAAGCAGTGGTGAGGGAGACAAAGTTTCTGCTCTCAAAGAGATTGCAATCTAGTGGGAAATACAGAAAAGTAAGACACTTTCATAATGGAATAGAGTTAGAGATTTGGTGTTGTTCTGTGTCAATTCATGTGTGGTTTGGGGTCCAGAGTGGGAGAGGCCTACAATGTCCAGGGATTTATAACAACCCTATTCAGGTTAACCTTGGGCTGTTTCCAGTGCCAAGGTTTGTGGAGACACTGTGACTTGAGGAATTTGGGACCTGATTTGTGAGTTTGGATCTATTCTGAAAAGAGTGAGGATAGGCCTTAGGTACTCAGGTCCAAACCAGACCGACTCAGGCAAACTCTGAACTCCTCTGTCTCTAAACTATACTACCTGAATCCAAACTGTTATCATTCACCTCCCGCAGGCCAGAATGTTGGTCCCATGTGACCAAAAAATATTTTAAGCTATAAATTCTAATAAGTGCCTTCCTAATTTTACAGCTTTTATACATCAATATTTTGAATTTCTACAAGATGGAAAGCCCCCTTTTTGTCCCAGAAGAATTCCAGCTGATACGTATAGATGAAATGACCTAGTTAGGAAATCTCCATTTTGGTAACATTCAATTTATCTGATTCAGACAAGGATAGTTAATAATTACTAAAACCATCATGTAAAGTATTGTTGGTGAATAAGATATTCACCTGGTCTCAAAATATCACCACATGAATTACTTACTAATTACAAAGGGGAAATTACCTTTACAAAGGGAACTGAGGGAAGGGAAACTAAGTCACTTTTTTTTTTGGCTTCTTTTCCAAATCCCATTATAATGATAGTAAAGATATCATTAAAAGGGAATAAATTCAGGATAGCATCAGAACGGGAAGTGAAATCAAGACAAATTTCTAGAAGAAGGAAAGATGAGTTTGTATTGACAGGTAAATCAGAGATGAAATTGCTATCTACATTGGGAGACAGCTCCAATGGAAGTGGGAGACACAAAAAAGCTTCACTCTGCTGAATATAACCCAGCCTACTGAATATCACTACATGGGCTTCCTAGAGGCAACTCAGGTTCAACATGTCCAAACTAAACTTATCTCTGTCCCTCCCTTGCAGACAAACCTGTTCCCCGCCCCAGCAAAAAAGTATCTCATATCACTAACTGCTCAAGCCAGACACCTGAGAGTCATCCCTGACTCTTCTTCTCTTTTACTATTCACAACCAGTCACCAAGTCATGCCCCTCAAATAGGACCACTACTGTCAATTCCTACCACCCCATCCTACCATGGTGTCTGGACATGCTGTCCAGAGGACGTACATCTCAACCCTGTCTAGTCAGGCTTGTTTCCACCACTACATTAAAGTTCTTATCAAGATCACCAATGACTCTAATGGTACCAAAACCAATGAACAGTTTTCTTAGCTCAAAAATTAAAGTTCTGGCCGGAAACAAAATTTACTTTATAAACAAATTCCCTATACACTTGGAAAGCTCAATTCCATAGAAAAGTCCAAATCTTTGTAAACCCCTCCACCAAACTCTTTTCTAGAGCTGGAACAAACTGTAAAACTGTTGGATTTGACTATCCTGTCCTTATTAGGAAAGTGTTCCCAAGAGTGAAACTGAGAGAGCAGCAGAAATAAAATGAATGCTTTATATTTATTCTACTAACATTAATTGAGTTCCTACTGTATACCAGGCATGGTATTAAGCACCTTTGCCCCATTTAAAAAGTATACTTATTAAAGTGTAAGTTAAATACCATACAATTCACTTGCTTTAAGTGTACAATAATTCAATAATTTTTTAGTAAATTCACAAATTTGTGAAACCATCATCGTAATCAGTTCCTTCATGCTCATTTGCATGTAATTCCCATTTCCAGCCCTGACTCCAGGCAACCACTATCTACTCTCCATTTGTATCGATTTGCCTTTTCTGGACATTTATTTAACAAGGTTCAAATTTACCCAAGATAGTTTAGTAAAAGGATCAAAATACCATAATGTGGGCAGGGTTAAAGAATTAAATAAAGGGATGATAAATTGCCCAGAGAGTAGAAACTAGATAAGGAGCCATGATCATCTCTTGGACTACAGAGGCAAGAAGAAAGGGTAACTGCTGTTACAAGATGTCATGAGAATTGGAGGTACCACATATAAATGACCTGACCCATTGTCTGAACTATAGGAATTACTTGAGAAATTGTTGTTAATGCTATTAATGTGAATCTAGTCACCCCAACCATATGGGAAACTCCTTGAAGTCAAGGGATATGTCTTGTATTTCATATAGCACCCAGAAGAAATCCC